CTATAACCTTTTGTCCTATCTGGATATCCTATGAAGAAACAGCTCACTGTTTTGGAATCAAGTTTCTTCTGCATAGGATTGTACAGCTTTGCCTCTGCCTTGCATCCCCAGGTCCTTAGATGAGCCAAGCTAGCTTTCTTTTACACCAGATTTCGTAGGGTATGTTGTTTGTAGCTTTGGTGGGAATTCTGTTGACAAGGTAGTTTGCAGTTTTTAAAGCTTCTCCCTATAGAAAAGTAGGAAGCTTTGCACAACACATCATGCTTCTCACCATCTCTATTAAGGTTCTATTTCTTCTTTCTGAAACACCATTCTGCTGTGGTGTTCCAGGATTTGTATATTGTGCAACAATGCCCTCTTGCTGTAGGAAGTTTGCAAAAGGTCCTGGATTTCTTCCTTTTTCTGTGAACTTGCCATAGAACTCTCCACCCCTATCTGATCTTACAACTTTTATCTTAGAATCCAGCTGGTTTTCCACTTCTGCCTTGTAGATTTTAAACATTTCCAATGCTTTGGATTTTTCTGTTATCAGATACACATATCCATATCTTGAAAAATCATCTGTAAAAGTAATAAAATAACTGAAACCATCATGTGTATTAACTGGAAAAGGTCCGCAGATATCTGTGTGTATTATCTCAAGTAGTTTCTCACTTCTTATTGCCCCTTTCTTTCTGAGATTTGTTAGCTTTCCTTTTGCACATTCAATGCATGTTTTATCTTGTTCATGGTGATTAAGTGGTGGGAGAATTGATTCTTTGCATAGGAGATTCATTCTTTCTTTCGAGACATGTCCAAGTCTCTTATGCCATAGTGTGAAAGATTCTGCATTACAAGGCTGTTTTGAACTTAACACATTTATCATCTCTGTACTTTGATTTGGTAATTTGCAGTTCAAACGAAACATTCCATCGATCAATAATCCATTACCAATAAAACTTTTATTTCTGAAAATGGAGAAACCAGACTCATCAAAATCAAACTGTAAGTTTGATTTTACAAGCTTGCTAACTGATAACAAATTCCTTGTCAAAGAAGGAACATAACCGACATCAACTAATTCCAAAAAAAAACCTGACTCCAACTCAAGACTAGCTAAACCAACAAAATCTACTCTAACTCTTTCTCCATTTCCCACGAACACCTTCAAGTCATCCTTGTTTGGCACCCTCTTTGTTTTGAATCCCTTTTCCCTTTTGTTTGTCCAACCAGCGCTTGTATCTTCTGCAATCTCTTTTTAAATGTCCAAATTTCTTGCAGAAGAAACACTTCAAACCTACTGGACATGTGCCCTTTGCAGACTCATCTTTCCTTTGCTGCTTATCTGTGTTCTTGTTTTTGGTCCATTCCTTTGGTTTAAACTTAGTATCCTGCACCAAATACACTTGTTCTTTTCCTTTGTCCTTTCTGATACTTTGTTCTTCCTGCACACATATACCTATCAAATCAGCAACTGACCATATCTCCTTCTGAGCAATATAAGTAGTTTTCAGTTGTCTAAAAATGCTAGGTAGAGAATTAATAGCAAAGTGCACCATCATGGTTTCATCCACATGGACTTTTAGAGCCTTCAGCTTGTTTCCTATCTCAACCATGTTCAGAATATGAGTTCTTATGCAGCCTTCTCCATTGTATTTCATATCTGTCAGCTGGCTCATGAGTGAACCAATTTCAGCTTTCTTGGATCCTTGGAAGTTTTCTGCAATAGCTTCCATGAATAGCTTAGCACTCTCAGTTTCAATAATACTGCCTCTGACCTCTTCTGAAATAGACCTCCTCATGATCAGAATTGCCATTTTGTTGGCCTTAATCCACTTTGCATATTTAGTCTTAGTCTCAGCAGATGCATCAATCGCAGGTACTGATAGAGCTTCATCAGTAAGAACCATCTCATAATCCAGAAGTCCAAGAGCAATTTCCACATCTTCTCTCCATTTCTTATAATTTGAGCCAGTGAGAGTTCGAATCGAGTTATGATTGACTGTACATGTTTAAAAACAAGATAAGCACTTTATATATAAATTTCCCCAGAACTTTAATCAAACATACTTAATCACATCTTTGGACAATGATTCAAGCATGCTTATTGACACTGGAAAACGAGTAGATGTGGATTTCCTGAGCAAAAGATCTTCTACATCTTTAGACAGAAGAAAACCTTTCACTAATCCATATCTATCCATGTTCCATGTCGATCCACCATGATGCAAGACATATCAAACTGCTGACATCTTTGGACAGAAAGCCTTTCGACATGTTTTGCATCATGGTGCAAATTCTGATCATAAACCTTGAATATAGTGATCATGCAATGGTTGAGTCGCTTTGGCTTACTCAATCACGGCACAAGAACTGTAAGCAATGATCTGTAGAAAACTTTAAGAACATGATAAAGTTCATACTTTATACTGTTATCATGTTCATACTTTATAACTTAAAACTGTCAGTTATTTATTCTTTAATTTTCCTGCACGAGTTTGTTAGGTATAACATGATATAACTTAAGCTCTAATACCACATGTTAATTCCTTAAAGCCATAACATGTTTAACACTAACCTGAGTCTGACATGGTGCTGGCGCAGATTGGATGATGCTGGAACAGATTGGCAGCGCAAGGGATAGAAGTTCTTCTCCTGAGGATCCGATCCTTATAGCTATAACTCTGATGGGTGAATTTCTGTTTAGCTGTGTTGTGTTATTCGGATCTAGGAGGGAGCCTTCTATTTATATGCATCTCTCTAAGTGTCTTGCCCATCAAGAAACACTTAGAGATATCCTTCATGCTATAGGATTAATCCATTCCAATCCTTGTAGAACTAGGAACCCTTAAGCCTTCATTATCCTTATTGAACACTGTTTGAGGCTTGCCTAATCGAGATAGGTTTTGAGTTCCTAATAAACAATAAGTCTTTGTAATCCTAATTTGATTAGAAGATCACTTTAGTAGGTTTAATGTAATAAACCTTCTTACAAATTACTCTTGAACATCTGACACCGATTATTTGTTCATACACAAGCAGATAGATAGCGTGGTGTTGCTGAATGCTGATGGATATATTTTGCTATGCTTGACACTGACTGTAACACACTAAGATAGAAGTGTCAAACTAAATTATTAGGCGCAAACAATGACTTGGCCGGGGTGAGGGTGGAGATCTACTTGCTCCTCAACTCAACATGTAAAAATACATGTCAAAAATATCAAACAGGGATACCTACTTCTGATTGAAAAATAAATAAATTTGTGAATAAATTGCACAAGCATGCTGCCTTCCTTCCTACATAACTAAATTTGTGAATAAATTGCACAATAATAGAAGAAAAAACTTGTATCATGGTGGTGAATTTCTTCAACATAATGGAGTGTTACTCTCGGAATTCTCTTGAAATCTGAGTTGTGATGCTATAGGAAAAGGAATGATGCTTACAATGTTCCCACCACCTTTTGAGTATTTGTTAGATGTCGTGTCCCTTGAGCGATACGTGCCAATCCAAAATCTGAAATTTTGGGGTTCATGTTCTCATGCAAGAGAATGTTACTGACCTTCAAATCTCTATGTATTACCAACAAATTAAACACATCAAGGGGAGTAGCTTTATACCTTTACTCGAAGATCAATTCAGCCGTTAAAGCCCTCAAACAGTCGGTTTTATTGTTGAAAAACCTAGATCTTGTCTTGCCTTATATGTGCATAATTGGAAAACTAAATCTTTTTTGCTAACCAATCGGAGGATCAAGAATAATTATTTTGGGATTCTTCGATCTAAGTCCAAAATCTCTAGCTGTCATTGGATTTATTCCACACCTTTTTTGTTGTAGATTTGGGTCCATTGACTTTTATTAATTTTTTCTTGTGTCAATTTTACCCTTTAAGGTAAATAAGAAAAGAACATTAATTAAAAATCCAAATTAATGTATCGATTCTTTCCTTCTAAATGAATTTCATGTTTTAAATTTTGAATCCTTCTATTGCCGCCATAACACATCTGTACCCCAAAAAAAAAAACATTTCATCAAGTAAAATACTTTAACAATTAACTATTGCAATATTTACCTAATATATAGATAAAATATAATTTAAGTCATGAAAGTAATGACCCATATATTTTATATTACAATGAAAATTAAGACCCATAGGCAAGCACCAACATAAAACCATACCTATCCATAAGGTTGATTTGAGAGGATTCTAGCATATGAACAAATAAAAAAAAGTTCATATAAAACAATGAAAGTAGTAGTATTATTGACGATGTCTTCCCAACAAATATTTACCTCATTACTAGGTAAATATGAGATAATATACCTAATTATTAGGTAAATATAAGATAATGTACCTAATTACTAGGTAAATATAAGATAATATACCTAAACATTAGGTAAATATAAGATAATATACCTAATTATTAGATAGATATAAGATAATGTACCTACTTACTAGGTAAATATAAGATAATATACCTAAATAGTAGGTAAATAAAGACAGATCACAAAAAACCAACATACATGGAATTGTAGTATCTGGTGTAAGCCTTTTCAGACATCCCACTCAACCTTATCGCTTTTTGCCAATCGAATAGAAGCCCCAACCTATAAGCCATTCAACCCAAAAGAATTACAACCACAAAGACCCAATATCCAACCTTATCGCTTTGCATACCTCACCTTGCAAATTATAAGCAACATGATAAATACCCAGTTAGAAAATCAATCAAACAAGGATTTTGGTTTCGAATGAAACTCACTATGCCGATTATAGAAGAGCTTCTTGGAGAAGTTGGAGGGCTTAATGAGAAAAGAATTTGGCTCCACTAACTTACTGGTGAAAGTTGCAAAGATTGTGGCTGTGAGAGAGTCTGAATTGTTTTAGGGTAGACAATATCATAATTATTATCATAAAAGTTAATTACCTTATTTAATTTTTAGGGCCATGATGGGAATAATTAAGTAATTTTAAAATGAAAAAAATAATATGTAAATATCAAAAAATAAAAAAGGAATGTAATCATACGTGGCACAAAAGTCAAAGGACTTGTATCAACACCAACAACTACGATGATGTCATCCAAATTCTATTTTCGATTTTGGACTTATACCGAATTTTTTATAGTTTTATCCACAAGACGAGTAGAACATTTATATGATCATTGGCGGGCTAAATAATACATTATAACATATTATGGCCCTATTTGGTGGGCTGGACTGGATGAGATATTTTCAATTAAAATGGACATGGATCCTAACCATTGTTTGGTGGGCTTAAATGTGTTTCAGATTGGATATAGGGCTCTGGATCCAAGTCCCAAATAACTAAGGTTATGAAACCCAAGCCCAAACGTGGGTTCAAAAGCCGCGTCGTCTTGCGAGAGCGCTGGCCTCCTCTGGTTTGACGCCTTCTCTCTTCTCCTCTTTGAGAATTGCAGCAACATCGGTGTCGCGTAAACCAAGGCAAGGAGGAACTGCAGCAAGATTGCGTTGCGCAGATCGTCGCCGCTTCCCGTCGATCTGGCCAAGCTTTTCCATTATAAGAATCGCTTGGCATATTCTCTCTCTCTCTCTCTCTCTCTCTCTCTCTATGCGTGTGTTTGTTTCCTGAGAAAAAATTGCGATGAAAAGACAAATCTAAAGGAAACATTGAGTTGAGATATATTTTTGTTTTCATTTCTTGTGATTTCTTAGTAGTTCAGTATCACATCTCAACTCAAATAATATATTTCTTTTGTTTTGTTTTTGTAAATGAAATATTTTGCATGTCATTGTTTGTGTCGATTTTGTGAAAATTATGATTGTTCTTGCATATGCGAATTGGGTAGATTTGTATGCATTATTATAATTTTTATACATTTATTTGTAATTTTTTTATTCTGCAAATTTTGTATTAGTCCAGAGAATCTCATCTTGGTGTTACTGCACCAAACAGCTGCTTAAAATTCAGTCATATCCCAACCAGTCCAGTCAAGTATAAAAAGGTTAATCCAATTCAGTCCAATCCGGTCTAGCATACCAAACGGGCCTATAGTTACAATAACCTATTGGAGAATTCCTCCACTGTTACTTTCCACCAAAGGCTATATCCTCCTAATCAAGTAGCATTTCGCGAGTTGCGGTCTGTATGGTTGCCTTGCTGCTTTGCATGCTTAGGTCTTCCCCGTGCTTATTCAATTCTTGGGACCTAATGAACTCTTGTATTCTTCCCTTCAATTCATTGCTGGTATAGCATGTCCGCCGTTAGATGGGAGCGGTTGAATGGATCCGACGGCAAATCACATGAAGTACATACATTAGCACACAATAGGAGATGCATTTCAAAAGATCAAGATTAATTAGCAGTGCTGATGATGTACGTTATCACTAAGAAGATGCCTTTGGATGACAAGATAACTGGATCCTTCATGAAAGTGTACTGCAATAAAGGAAATACAAATATTTATAATCAAAGCCGCATTCCAACCTATTACCTACCCACAAACACACAAAAAATACCTGAATTGGATCAAGGAATTCATCTGGTATGTCCCCGAGAGCAGCTTCAGCGTCCATGCCCTCAGAAGCAGCAACTTTGCCTCTGGCACCAAGCTCAATAAATTCCTGTATGACCCTCCCATCTTCTCCAATTCTCCTTAGGACATCCACTGCAGCACTAAACAGCTGGAGAAATATCCAATGACACATGTTTGCTTCCATTCAAACATAACGATGTTCTTGGAAAACAACTAGAAACCAGAATAATAATAATTGCACAGAAGTTAAGTAAAGCTTTGCCTCATCTTAAGTACCTGCTCATTGTACGATCGACCATCCTTTGAGATGGCAGCTAGAAAAATATTTTATGTGTCACCCTTCGCCAAATGAACATATACGTATACAATCTTCAAATAAATTCAAAAACAAAAAATGCGGTCAGTGGTGTTCTTCAATCTGTGTAGTAACAGACTAACAGCTTATTATATATAAGTTCCATACAAAATTAATTAGTACATAGTTATTAACACAAAACAATCCCATGCAATTGCAAATTAATATTGCTATATATGGGTCGAAAAATCAACCGGCAAAACAGTGTTACATCTTTCATTTTGATGCCGTAAGTGGAAAATTAAAAGTTCCCACTTCACAAGCTCTGTCAGTGTCACCAACAGCTTTACCAAACGCATGCGCTGATGACCAGACGACCATTACTAGAAATGGAAGCACAATTTTTATATTTCATCAAGCCTGATAAATGGTAGCCCAAAACACATAAGTTCACAAATTTTAAGCCAACCTGCTTAAGCAATTGCTTTGGCCGGAGCTGTAATTTACTTTCTTTGGGGTCTTTCAAACTAAGAGACTTTCTTTAAGGGCCTATACTAGTTGCAACAAAAAGTAATTGAGCATTGTTTCCAAGCATTTTTGCTCTTAGATGAGGGTTCCTGATATATTATGGACTTGCCATGGACAATATAATGAAATTCATAAAATCATACTGCATAGAAAAAAAAAAAATAATGAAAAACTATGAAGATAAGCCTACTATAGGAAGTATGAAAGGAATATTTTTGGATAAATGTAACAATCCTACCAATAAGACCGCATCCAAAGCTTTGGGAATTCGGGAAGCAAATATAAGCAATTCCATGGCATCTTCCACAAAATGCTCTGGCCAAAAAAGAACTAAGCTATCCGGGATTAGGAACCTTTGATTTTCACACCATGTTCAAGTTTGTTGTAATTTTGAATGTGCAAACTTAAAAGTTAGCTCACCAAAAGATAAAAGAAATTCCAATTAGTAATTGACTGTGTCAAAGCAAGCCCCAGCTTCTCAGGTCACGTAACCTCCCCCACCTCCTATGTTAGTGTAGCAACTAACTGTCCCACAGCTACTATATTAAGTTAACCCCATTTCCACCTGTAGTTAGTTGTTGCACTCTGATATTCATCATCTCCTTGAGACTTCCGAGAGCTTCTGTGTTGAAAAAGCTGCCCAAAATGGCAAACTGCAACACGAACTGTGCCAGAGCAACCCGTTTTTGTTGACCATTTTCATCTGTTTTGGCCATTTCCCAGTCTCCGCCTTTGATTTCCAAATAGGTGGAACCAAAGATTGGGTTGTGCCTCCTACTAATGACAGCAAAATCTACAACGACTGGGCCTCTGGAAACCGGTTCCAAGTAGTACGTAGATGCATAAACACATGCCATTTCATGCTATTTTTCTGTTTCATAGTTTTATAATTATATGGTTTGGTGCAGGTTTTAAGTACAAGAAGGACTCTGTTATGGGGGTGACAGAGGAAGAGTTCAAGAAATGCAATTCAACTCGCCCCCACTTCTTCTCCAACACTGGAAACACAGTTTACCTTTTTGACCACGCCGGCCCTTTCTACTTCATCAGTGGAGCTTCTGGGCATTGCCAGAGAGGACAGCGCATGATCGTTAAGGTGATGTCCTTGGAGGAATCTCCTTCCAGAGACCGCAGATCTGCTGGCTCTCGTGCTGCGGTTTTCTGAGTCTTTGTTCGGTTGTGTCCTATATGTTGCATGTCTTCTCTTCTAGTTGACATGTTTCATTCGTTTGTGTAATGTTAATTAGGATGTTGAATGTTGATGTTTAATTCGATTTGGCCATACTGTTGCCGTGTTTAGATATTCTAATTAGTTTCTAGATTCTTTGTTTATGTAGTAGCAGGTACCAACAAACGATGTTTAAGCTCTAGTTAATTTGGTTCGTACATTAATCTTCTTCTTGTTCTGCATTGATCGCTCGCTTCTATTTCATGAGAGAAATTTGATGGTTTTGCATCTTAGATTCAAGCACAGGAAATTTAAGTGTAAAAACAAAAAGTACGAACAGCGATTGATGGATCTTGCCATGCTAGTAAACTCCAAATTGGCCATCTTTGCTAGAAAGAAACTCTATGCCCTGAACAGATACAAAGAATGGTGAAAACATGCTGTCATGTTGAAAATTTTTAGTTTTCCTAAAATTGAGATAATGTTTTATACTATACAAAAATATGGGGACATTGAATTAAGGGGGATTAACAAGGAACAATCACAGAGAGAGACAGAGAGGGAAGGAAGGAAACCACAAATTCCTTGGTCCTTTGCCATCAGACTAAGTTGCAGTGCACGCATGGATGGATTAATAATTTGTGATGATATGCGATAATGCTCCAATTACAACATCTCAGATTCTCACTCCACCGAAGCCAGGAGAGCTTCACATGCAGCAAAACCACTTTTTCTGCAGTCAAATTAATCCATGTATGTATAATTCCCGCGAGTTACGCAGAGAACGAATAGAATGAATGAATGAATCAAAGTAAGGGTAATTTGGTTGAAATGAATGAATGTTGTTACCTCTGGGGGATATTGAGAGTTGGGTTCTGGTTTAGATGAAGGTGTTCCAGTCCCAGGAGCCCCACTGGACATCTTCTGGTCTCTAGCTTTGGTAAATATCACAGTAAAACCTTCAGCTGATGCAGGGTTATTCACATCCCACTCTCCAAATTTTGGCAACAATATCCTGCTGCACATCCATTCATTCATTTTTAATCTCAATCTGAAACCCTCTTCATTTTAACCAGTCCAAAACCATTGACAAAAGTTGCTATATGACGTAAACTTCAATTCAACAATGACACATTTTTTGTTGCAGCTGAAATAACGATACAAGAATCAATTATCTCTAAACCACCCTACGCAATCAAATTCGAAACAAATGATTTCAATCAATCTATTTTTCGGCGTAAACCACCCTACGCAATCAACTTCCATAGGGCAAGTTGAGGGCAGAGGCATTTTAAATCCGCCAAACAAGCGAACTAGCCACACCACCGTCAATCGGTAGAAAGAAAGAGCACTGTGTATAAGTGTCGCATCCTGAAGACGAGAATCAGATTTAAGAATCTATATTGGAAATCAAAATAAGGCTACTAAAAAGCAATAACCGACATACACATCAGATGAATAAAGTGCATATGATACATTTTATTGATGAAAGCATTTTTTATCCTTTCATTAAATGGTTAAAAACAACCTGAGCCTAGAACCACCATAGACAGGCTTCCTTAAAAATAATGCAAATGCCAAGGACTAGAATGGACACCCAACCATCATTACATAATAGAAATTAAAGATGATAAAACAAATGAGTTTGCAGCCAATTCATTGTGATGTGTTATTATCCTTAAACTTTCCCTGTTAGTTAATACCACACCAATTGTAATGTGCACGCATCAGATAGCCTTCACCTACACACACACTCCTTTGAGTTCAATCAATGACGCAGGTTTTTGCAAAGACACTGCTCCAAAGTAGTCAACCTGCAAAGACGAAATAGTGTGGTATTAGACAGTTCTCAATAACACATTACGCTACCAAAACAAACTGTAAAATACCCACCCGAAAACTGAAGATTTGTCACCGAAGAGATTGACAAACTCCGCAGAGTGTGCGAAAAAACAGCCACGCAGGCATCCAAAAATTCCGCAAAAACTCAAGAGTCCGGGCAGCGGGTGTGGATTTATGAAAAAGAGGAGAGCAGCACTCCCAATCGTCAAATGGGGGAAAGCCATAGCTCGCAGCATCGTGCACTCTTCCCCGACCAAAGCAGAGTTCGAGGTTGTTTCTTTGCAATGAGTAAACAGATACCGAAGAAGCAGATCCCCGCAACAGAGGTCACATCTGAGATCTCTCTCTAGTTTCTTTTTTCATCTTACTTTAATTATGATATTATCTAAATTTTTTATATGGGTGTTTTCTGCTTTTATTGTAGAAAACTAATGTCTAGTTCTTTTTAGGTTGCCGGATGAGGCGAAGGATGGGGTGCCGGAGGAGGTGGAGGATGATAGGTGGTTTTGTTCTTCTATTAAATTTTCAAGGAAGTCATAATGACTCATTTATTGTGATCGTCCTTGGTTTTTGTTGCATGATAAGTTCAAAAACAAAGACGATCACAATAAATGAGCCATTATGACTTTCTTGAAAATTTACTAGAAAAAGAAAACCACCTATCATCCTCCACCTCCTCCGGCACCCCATCATTCACCTCATCCGGCAACCTAAAAAGAACTAGACATTAATTTTCTACAATAAAAGCAGAAAACACCCATATAAAAAATTTAGACAATATCATAATTAAAGTAAGATGAAAAAAGAAACCAGAGAGAGATCTCAGATGTGACCTCTGTCGCGGGGATCTGCTTCTTCGGTATCTGTTCACTCATTGCAAAGAAACAACCTCGAACTCTGCTTTAGTCGGGGAAGAGCCCCATTTGACGATTGGGAGTGCTGCTCTCCTCTTTTTCATAAATCCACACCCGCTGCCCAGACTCTTGAGTTTGCGGAATTTTTGGATGCCTGCATGACTGTTTTTTCGCACACTGCAATGGGTGCTGCAAAGAGAGACTGGAAGACTTAAAGCCAACAAGTTTAGGGCCAGTAAGATTAAATTTGTTGGCCCGTTTAGGAAAGTGTGCCCAATATTTCTCATGTTATAGGCCCACACCTCTGAGACTGTAAAGGGTTAACTGTAAACCCTAAACCCTAAACCCACCTGTGAGACGGGCCAACAAGTTCAGGGCCAATAAGATTAAAATTGTTGGCCCGTTTCCTAATCGGGCCAACAAGTCCGCCCAATATTTTTCAGGTTATAAGCCCACATCTAAACCCTAAACCCTAAGTCGGCCCAATATTTTTCATGTTATAGGCCCAACTTCTGGGCCCATATTTTGACAGACCCAAAACATTGAAGAACATGAAATCTATAACCGGAAAAAATATAAACATGAATCGGAGAACAGAGTGTTTACACATAATGGGAGAATCCATGAATCATAAAAAATATATGAATACCGTAGAAAATGAATGAGTGAGAGATCTTTTAGGTATTAGATTATGAAGAAGATGAAATCTTTAACCCTAAAAAATTACCTCTACATGAAAACATAAACATGAATGGGAGAACAGATCTCTAATTCATAAAATAGATAGATGTCAAAGAACATGAATCATCGGGAAAGATAGATCGGAGAACAGAGTATTTCCGCATAATTGGGGAATTCATGAATCATAAAAAAGATTTAGATTATGAAAAAGATGAAATCTTTTACCCTAAAAATACCTCTACATGAAAACATAAGCATGAATCGGAGAACAGATCTCTAATTCATAAAAAGATGAAATCTTTAACCGGAAAAATTCTCTCTATATGAAAACATAAACTCAAATCGGAGAACAGATCTTTCCCTCAAAGTAAATAATCGGGAAAGATCTCAAAGAACATGAATTATCGGGAAAGATACTCAAAGACTTCATCTTTCCCTCATAAACGAACATGAACTAAAGAGATAACGAACATGAACTAAAGAGATAACGAACCTGAACTATCGGGAACATCCCACTATTCAAAAGATAACGAACATGAACTAAAGAGATAACGAACCTGAACTATCGGGAACATCCCACTATTCAAAAGATAACGAACATGAACTAAAGAGAGAATAAGAAAACAAACATGAAGTGAAGAGAGAGAACGTACTGTTCGGAGGCAGATAGATGTGTGCTTATATAGTATCAATTAGGGTTTGCCAGAGTTACGAAACTACCCTTCGTCATTTACTATTCTTACTTAAATTCTGGTTCGTCAACACGCGACTCCAACTCCTTTTTCCTACGCATTTGTTATCATCTTGACCGTCCAAATTTATCTAGCGATAACGAATGTGCCACGTCATTTAACGAATTTTTTAAATTCTTTAAACTCCTTGCACTGTTACAGTCGACAACTCCCTTCCCTCCTCCCTCTCACCGACATCCCTTGACACCTCTCTCCTCTGCCTCACCAAAACCAAATCAAATTAAGATTGAACCATGACATGCACATGCAGTATGCAACAAATATAAATCCTACATAACAAACCCTAAATTAACCTCTCTCTCTCTCTCTCCGCATTATCACGAAGAAAAGCAAGCAAACAGTATCTATCTCGATCGGGTCCGCGCGTAAGTTTTTCATTCATCTATCTGTCGAATGCTTAATTCTACTTGCTTTGTTTGTTTGATATTTTAATCGGCTGAATATACTTCTTTTCCTATTATATTCATTGTTTACGATGCAAATGTAAATACTGGAGCTGTGATTCGCTGCAAATTTTTTATTGACAAACTTTCCAGAATTCAGATATTTCATAATTCCATTAAGCTTGACTTAGATGGGCTTGCCGCGCTTCGAGTCCGTGCCTTTGATAGTGGTGAAGGTACTTTTTGAAATGCTAATGATGACGAGATGTTTGGGGCCATTGAATTCTCAATTTCATTTCTTGGTAGTGCACTCATTGTTGATGCTCTTTTTTCTTTTTTCTTTTTTTGAGAGGCGGAGGTAGTCGCCACTCTCTCTGTGTGTTTCAGTAACTGAGCTTCTTGAGAGGCAGAGGTAGTCGGCGGCGATCTGTGGCTTCAGATCCATTAGCCACACAGAAAAGGAAAGGAAAAAGATGAGGTGTGGTGTTTGGAGAAGGAGACGGGTGTCTGTAGGATCCATTCTGATAGTGTGTGCTGGAATGGGGCTGTTGATGCTCAACTTAAGACAAGTTGATTCTCCATCGAGCCCCGATTTCCCTATGCAAATTCACAATTCGGATTCAGCGTCTGAAAGCGGTGGTGGTAGGGTTGGGGTTAAGGACGAGCCAGAGAACAAGATTAAGAGAAAATCCAACTCCTTTGCTATGGTGGAAGAGATGGGAAAGGACTTCAAAGGAGGGTTCTGGGAGGAAAGTCTCAGAGTCAGGAAACTTATTCAGCATCACTTTGACTTGAATGGTATTTGTCTACTCTCATTTTCTTCAGGCTGATTGTTAGTGTCACATGTATTATACATGCTACCTGATTCATGAAAGTCCCAAACATTGAAATTGGTCTTGTTCTTAATTTCTCAGCTTCTTTTAAGGTTTTACATTTGTGTGAGATACATTTGGTTATGTTCCCTGATTCTGCTTGAACAATTCTACTAGCACTTTCATGCTTTGCCTGCCCATATTCTGACTCCATCCAGTGTATTTATTCCTCACAACTATTCCCAGTCAGGCCATCCATCTTTCGCATTCTTGTTCCATATACAAGTTTTTTGTTATATTTAATCTATATTTTTCACTGAATTTGTTGATATCCTTCATAGCATCCTGCTTTGAGTCTGGAACCTGTGATTCATCCTTTAGAACTTTTGAGAGATGGAAGCTCATACGACTCATTCAATTTCAGGTGCTTCCCATGTCCGAAATCTTTGTCCAGAACAGTTTTGTCAGCATGGCTTTGTGATGGGTAAAGCATCAGAGGCAGGTTTCGGGAATGAAATGTACAAAATTTTAAGTGGTGCAGCATTGAGTATACTTTTAAACTGGTCCCTGATCATTGGGCAAAGCAGGCAAGCCTTTCTTTTCTTGTATTTCATAAATTCTTTTTCCCTGCAGTAACCTGAATTGTTTGAAAAAGTTGGTCTTTTGGCTTACCATTAAACCATATTATTATATGTCATATATTGCTTGTTTCTCATAAATAAATAAAACGTTATATAGAGCTTCCCTTGAATGTTTATTAGAATGCCCCAGAAGCAGTGCTGTTATGGGAACCTGTAATTTTACACTGCAATCATTTTTCATGTGCCTTGGATCCATTCTTCGCAACTCAATGCGCAAGCCTGAGGAGAATGTGGCTCAATTGTCTTCTGGTCAGTTGATACGATTCTCTCTCTCTCTCTCTCTCTCTCTCTCTCTCTCCTTCTTCTTCTTCTTGGTTTTTCTTTCTTTTCTCTTTCTTTATTTTCCATTGGAACACCAGTTTGAGAATGCTATCAGTTTGTTTCCTGTCATTAAACTTCAGAGTCAAGACAGTGTTCTTGATTCTTTTGTGTTGTTTTGTGATTGGGGTCATGCTATAATATTGTAGTCAGTTGGCTTTTTAGATTTTGCGCCTTTAGCTTATCGCGGGTATTATAACTGAATGCGATCATGTTCTTGGAGTTTCTTGTTTTCTCAACTTGGGATTTTTGTTGTTCAAATTTACCAGTTACCACCTTCTGTTATCTGGTTTCAATTGAAAATGACATCTTTTCTGAAATCCCAAGTTTCAATCTTTTCTGAAAATATTAAAAATATGGACTAGAACAAGTGTGCAAAAATATACAAGATTGACACTTGTTAAGGGCTTTATACCTTTCAGCTGGGCTTGTCTAGGATCATGACAAAGCTAGCCATAGTTTCAAGGTTACTCACTGCCAGTACCTAAATAGGATAATGAAATGACAGCAGTAACTATTGGAGAACTCATATGAACACTAAATCTTAGCCAAGCTGTTTACAGTTGCAATGTATTTCTATACTCTATAGTACTGCTTGTGCTTGGGAGAAACTCAGAAATTCTAGACCTATGACAGCTTGGGCTGATCTGTCTGATGCGAATTAGCAACAATAATGTTGAGGGAGGAGCTTTCCATCCTTTGGTTAGCCGACAAAGGTAAGCAGGCAACTCTTGACAGAATGCTTGTCTAGTACTTACGAGCACTTGTATAGACTCCATAGGCTATTAGATTTTGGGTTTTGTGTCAGGTTTTGCTGGAATCGCATGAGCACTAATTCTTTGATTGCTCCTTTTATGATGATGATACATAGTACTCTAGAGTGCACGGTGAATATGGGATCACTTCTGGTCTCGTCTTTGTTAATTGGGCTGCTGTGCTGCTCAATGGAAAGGTAAACAAGTGCATTATGTTATGTAGTAAAAAAGCTTTGCCTGGCTGGCTGGGATTGTGGATCATATCTGGAGGTGGAGAAATGATAGGATTTTGTGAATGAGAACAAAGCTTGTCATGGCTGTGCTGTGTTCAACTTGTAATATTTCGAGTCTTGCTGTGGATGGCCAAAGCTTGTGCTGCTCAAATTGTATGAGCCATTTATGCAGTAATCTTCCTGTAATTTTGAAAGCTGCTGGAGTCTTCCTTTGTGTCTGTTGTGTTTCCCTCTGCTCTGTGCAGGGCTTTGCATTGTGCCTGTTCTGTTGTGTTTACTACTTAATTAGTACTTATAGTGGAAGTGGTTATTGACGTTGTCAGTTATTTCTGTTTTATTACTTAGACCTTGTATTATATTAAGAAAAGGCACATAATCTCATCATTTGCAATTTGCAATTTGCACGAGAGGGGAATGCATGATGTATTAATTTGCACAACTGACTAGGCTTTTTGCCTATTAAAGTTACCATACCAACCCAATGGCGACTTTTTTGAATTTACCAATTCCATTCCTGAATCTAATCTCGCATGCATCCCTCAGTTTCATGTCAAAAGATTATCTGAAGAAATCTACATTACAGAGGTAAAGCATGCATTCTTCCAGTATCATTGTTCAAACAATGATATATCCAGTTACTTTGCATTTTTTACTAGTAGGGTTCTTTCTTCTTTTCATTTTCCTTTCCACAATGTGAATTATGATCGTCTTATGAAAGATGTTATTGTATGTCCTATTAATTGCTTCTCATGTCGAATAATGTTCTTGCATTCTCTGTTTTTCTCTACATATTTGCTTCCTTTTGGCCCGAATTTCTGCAAATGTCCTTTGTTCTCATCTGATGCTAATGTCTGTCTTGCATTATACTATAGAAATTTCTGTTTTGCTTTATATAGCAGCTTGTTATGTTTTTGGCTACTTTCTTTTCTTATGTGAATTGCAGAGTGATGACATAAAGTTGTCCAATAACCAGTCTGATTACTGGAGAATTTTTCCTGTATCAGATGATGTTGCAATCAAACATGGCTGACAGAATTCTATAATTCTAAAGGCAACTTCACAGGGACGGGATAAATTGACAGCTTCTTTGACTTACTTTAGTGCGCTAAATGAGACGAAGGAGGTAATGATGTGATCTTTAACTTTTTTCCTAGTTCCTGATTTGTTTTTTATGATTCTATTTTAAATTTTATTCTTATTTTGCTTAAGTTGGTTCGTCTCTGCTTGTAGATTCTCAAGGTTGCACAAGAAGTCATGGATTGTGACCAAGTCTAGTTTAGTTTGGATAAAAGTGATGCGTCTCTGATGTAGGATATGGGTGAGTTGAGTATTTGGTTAATTTAGCGGAAGCGAAAACAATGGGAAAACGGAAAATAGGTGGTAAAAGATGCCTTGGCTTCACACCAAGGAGTCTCCAATATCTGGAAAGTAAACTTTTCTTAATATCTCAAATCTCAATTTTAAGAACTACATAGGGAGTATTTATAGCAAACTAAACCTAGAGACAACAGGATAAAAATCCCTTACTAAAAAGGAATCCTAATCCACAAAGGAACCAATCCAAACAAACTAGGAAACTTAAATCAAATACTACTAAAAACTGGAAACTAAAACTTAGTAAAATCTGGAAAATCTAGAAATCCTAGTGAAATCTGGAATCTGGAAAAAAAAAAAGTTTTCCTATTGAAATCTGGAAACTAAGATTTCACCCCAACCATAATGATAATGTTGGATTGGCTGATCGTTTATTCCTTCTTTGGTAAACCTTAAAAGGTTTGTCACAGATGTCCGCATGAGTCTCCAACCATTTTCCGTTCCTGGGCCCCTGATATTTATCAGGAGGTTGGTATACTCGATTTCTTTAACTTCGACTCTAATGTTGCTTAGGGAATCTGAACACTATCAAATTATACAGGTTGTGCTAAGGCATCCAGTGACTAGAAATGGTTCTCTTCAGACATGGGTACTGTGTCTGTGTCTGCTTCTGGGTTTGTCCAGGCCAAGAAGCCTGGTAAAGCTACTATTAAAGTGCTCTCCATATTTTTATTCATTCAATTATGATGAGGTACAGGGTACTGTATATGTTCTTTTGCGTCCTCATAGCATCAAGTGTCCACTGACCTTCTTACTCTTTGCTTTATGGAATCTTTTAAAGTTCTGCACGCTGCACAACCTAATCTCTAATCTCAAGTTTCTAACACACACACCCTCAAATGCTATACAATGTTTACATGGATCTTTATATCTTTCTCTCTCTCATCCCTATTGTCAATACTAGTTTTTATAGTATTTATTCTACCGCAATAGGTTGTCGTTGAAGTTTCTGTCCCAGCATCTATGGTCATGCTCCTTAACTTTCATGTTGAGACTGTCGTAGGAACACATCTTCAAGCTGCTGTTACAATGAAAGCATCAAATGGTAATGTCATATGATATACACATATATACCAGAATCATATGGTAATTGATTTGTGTCAATGGTGGGTGGCCTTTTAAAATTTGATTTTTTTGATTTTCAGGTGCCTACTTTTATAGATGTGATGCGTTCAGTTCCTTCATAAAGTGGAAAGCAGGCAGTGAGTCTTTCTTTATTGTCAATGCAACAGGGGAGTCCCCTGCTTTGGACAGTTTAGGAAATGCCGACTTCCATGCATCAAATTATGGTCCCCCATTTTCATGGGCATATATATATGCCTCTGCTTCTGGCCGGGCTACTCTTCATGCTACATTATCAAAAGAATATCACTACTTTGATAGCTCTTCTGGTGGGCCTATTGTCTTAAAAGCATCTTCACTTATTGTGGCATACTCACCGCTTAGCATTCGTCAGGGAGGTGATGGAAAACATTTCAGTGGATACTTTTTTGATCTGGCTCTAGCAGAAACTGATAAGCAATTGGTAAAGTTGGGCAAAATATACCTTGTCCCTGCCCTGGGATGCATTTGGATGATGTGCTTCTTGGTGGACCTGAAAAGTGGAACAATGGTGTTGACTTTGTTGAAACTATGGAAATCTAAAATGAACAACATGGTCACATTGACAATGGTGCTTCCGCGGAAAGGTTATCTGAAAGCTTTAAGAGTTTGTACAGAGTTTCATGCCAAATGCTGGGAACCTATGTAAAATTCCTCTCTTTATATTTCAGACGGTTTCTGATATATTTATCCTTATGCAAAATTCTTTAATATAATATATATTTATCCGACAATGACTCAGAAAATTGTTTTCAAACACGGTAATCTGGTTGGGGATGGCCATCCTCTGCCTGCAGTAGCAGAAGTTTCACTGTCTCTTATATGTAGCAATGCATTCCTG